ATTTTTGGGGGGGGAATCTTTTCTTCAGAATATTTTCAAAATAATTTTCAGTTGCCTTCATACCAATACTTTCCCCTACATGGATTTTTCTTGTGTATACTTGGTCAGGTACATCTGCCCATTTCATCTTCCTCTTAAGTACCATTTCTGCTTCCACAAGGCTCCATCCAAGCACTGAAGTGTTTATGAATTCAAATTTGGTGTTTTCATTGCCAGTGAGGGTGCAAATCATTATTCCATTTCTTTTCTTTCTTTGGTCCATGAAACAAAGACTTTTAATGTTAATGCAAGGGTTGTTGCTACATTATGACCCCAGGAATGTGCAGGCATTGCCTAGAATATGTACCTGCCCACAGGGCTTTCTAATTTCCCATACTATATTCTTACCTATAAACTAAATCTAGCTGATGTGGATCCAAGGCCTAGAGATCACCAGTGACTTTGGTTCAACCACTGGCCTTGTTGCAGAGAATGTAGATGGTGGGCCAAGGTTATAGGTCATTCTGTTTAGTTATTAGACGTGCTCTTGGGGCATAGAGCTTTCTGCTTCTCTTTTCAACCCACTTTCAAGGAAAAGAAAAACAGCAAACTGAAATTTAACACCGCCAACTCGAAGTGCAGCAATTGTACTTGAGGGCCAGATTTTGCAAACTACTAAAGTTTTCCTCGGAGTGAAAGGAATGAAGTTTTGCGTATGCCACCATTTAGAAATCATAAAAATTTCAGTAGCGAATAAAGAGTTTCTTTAAAGCTGAGAAAGCTTTTCCATCATTACTAAAGCATTTAGTTGTTATCACTTTATTTTCAAGGAGAACACGGTAATGAAGTACAATTGTACAATAAAGCAGACATTTTAATTCCTCAAAACTCCACCAATCAATGAGGGATGCACTGATGGATCCCTCATTCCATTTCTTTGGGATTCTATTACTTACTTCATTACAGCATGAACAATTTACAGACAGATTGTAAGTGGCCAATGCTGACTTGGTTCAGCTATATTTTGGAGTAAATAAAAATGGTCATAAAGACCACTCATAAGGATAGGTCTCTGACTTTTTTTTTAAAGTTAGAATTCCAGATTTAGAGTTGAAAGGGACCTTAGAGGTCATGGGGTCCAGAGGCTCTTCTTTTATAGATGAAGAAGCTGAGATAGAGACAGGTTAATGGACTTGTCTAAAGGCCTACGAGCAGAAAGCAGCAGTTCCAGGAGCTGTTAATGACCTTGTGACAAAGAAGAATAACAGCTAAGACAAGTCAGCTTTTACAGAAGCTCTGTTTGATGGGGGGGTATGCAGCATTCTGTATCCATAGGCCCCCACCTCTCCCCTGAGAGAAGACAGCTGTGTTTGCTCATCTCTTCTCTGAATTTGGTCACTATAATGAATCTGAGTTGAGGGGGAGTCACCTTTTAACATCGTCTATGTTTCCATTATTTTAATCTGGTGTCCTTCTGGTTCTAATTGCCCTTTAATTTAATGACCATCCAGTGATAGAGGCTGATGGAATCTTTGGTGGTCCCATCTTTAAGGAGTTTTCTGTAGAGTCGAATGTCTCAGTAGACAGAGCCTTTGATTAACCTAGGTCACCTGGCCCTATGTTGTTCTTATG